AGTTGCGGTCATGTCAAAGCGGTCAGACTGTATATTAACACGTGCTGAACTTACAGTAGAGACAAATTTTATTGTTGCCGTTTGCTGTCTCTTATACACATCTAGATGTGTATAAGAGACAGTGCATAAACTTTGTAAATAAATTCGCATTCGCACCTCGTAAATGGCTTTTCATGGCCGAGATATGGAATTCACGGCTCGGTGAAATAGAATCACGGCTCGTAGAAATGGAATCACGGCTGGCAAATCCATAAAACCACGGCTCGAAAAATTCAGTCGCGGCTCGCCAAGTAGATATATTCCATACTAGCTTGAAAGCATCCCCATCAAGTATCAACCAATCACAGCTAGAAAGCAAAATAACATTACAATTCCATTAACCAATCACAGCTGGAAAGCTAAAAGGAGCTAAAATCACAATCTTATCAATCAATCACAGCTGGAATTCTTGAAAGGGATAGTATATGTACATAGGCTAATTGACTGAAAGTGTAAAGTTCCTGGCCTTTCCAAGCTTTCAGGTCCTGCTTTCCAATATGCTATGTGTACTGATTAATTTAATATCCCTCTAGAATTCCACAATTCCATTATTATTATAATAATAATCCGCTACATTTTTTGGTGATTTATCAATTTAGCATTATTGAAGCTAACTTTTCAGTTAGCGGATTAGCGGTTATCAAAGCTAACTTTTAGGTTAGCTGTGCAGTGCCCACCACTGGTCTGGCACCTTTGCCACCTTAGTCCTTAGAAATAGCATATGGAATTTTTTTGGAGATGCCATTTGATAGCCCTCGCAAAGAGGCAAAGAGCTTTAAAATGAGCCCAAACTTTTAGGCCTATATGGTGGTGGTTGCGGGTTGTAGGTGAAAAAGAAGTCGCACGTTGACCGCTTGTAACACCTGGACTCAGCAATAGTTATTTAGTTGAAGTCTTCAATCTGGGGTAGTTTCCTCCACCAAGGAGCACACGCACAGATGTGAGAGGGACTCCCAGGGCATGCACACTTGATATCATCACCTGTCTCTCATGATGGTAAGAACTAAGAAGTTCTTAACAAAATACGCTCAAAACCACGTTTGATGGTAATCATGGTACCTATTATTGTCAAATTGTCAGATTCAGATATCACGAGAGGAGGACAAGTTTTGATTTGAAATTAAACCTGAAGTGCAGTTTAAACTTCAACGACGACAATTTATGCACCAGTGAATGAATGAGTTATGAGAAAAACAATGGTATAGTTATCTCGCTTCAGCAATACTGCAATGCTGAGCAATAGTAAGCAGCAGCAGATAGTACTATTATACTTATAGTAACCATCACGAATTTCTCGTGTTTCAAGTTTAATGCTACAGTTCTTCAGCTCAAGAAGACAGTTTACTTCTAGTGGTAATACCGTGAATACGGAAGGCAATACCGTGAATACGGCTTTCAATCATTTTAGCCTACAATTAGCGTTGGCCGTTGTGTTGTCACTTGTCTGATCTAAAGCCTCTCCGCAACTGGATTTTTGTAGGGCAAGGTCGAAAAATTTTTCAGCGACGTTTCCGCAATCTACCTCTCAAAAACTGGATTATATAATATGTAGCATAAATGGTAATAAAATTATATTTCAAGCGTATTAGCAGATCCAAACTAAAGAATTTTGAAATGAAATAATTATTGTTATTATGGTGAATGCTTCAACATTTAACTTATAGTTTTTTATTTTGGTCGCGACAATATGTGATACAAATGTAGGAATACCATATCTCCATTACGGAAAAATATGACGGTACAATTTAAAATTTTCTGAAATAGTGTTAAAGGTTATCGCGTAGTTTGCTAAATAAAATACAAGTAATTCGACATTTTCATTCTAGTCTAGATAAACAAAAATTTATAAAAGCGCAGAGGGCTTTGTCTACGTAGTTAACAAGGTAACTTGCATGTTATTTGAAGTATATGAATATAATATGAAGTTATTTTATTCGTCTACGTAGCGCTTTTGAGCTTATCACGCAATCGAATTATGTACGTAAAGGCTCCAAACAGAACGGATTGCCACACCGCATTTAATATCTCATTTAAACTCGTTTTCGATTTCATCTTCACACAATACGAAAAATATCAGGCGTTATGTAGAATGCTTTGATTTGGTTAATGATAATTCATTTAGTAGGGGTTGTATTTTGTACTGAAAGGACTTACGATGATTACTAATATCTAAAGTTTTTACATCTGACCACATTGCGAGATAACAACAGATATCTTAGGCTTATTGTTCGGACCAGTCGGCACGTTTTCTATTTTTCTCATAACTAATAATCCGTCTATAACCTTGCCGAAAACAACGTGCTTTCCGTCTAAAAAGTCGCATTTGGCGCACGTGATGAAAAACTGGCATCCATTGGTGTCACGACCACTGTTGGCCTGCAAAGGAAAATCAGACAAGACAATAATATGCGCAAACAATCATCATAAGAGCAGATGCCATTCTTGTAACTGAAACACTGCAAATTATAGCGGTAGGTGTCGCTCTGCACATACCAAGTCTCGAACACGGAAGAAAATAATATACGTTTAAAAACTACTTTTTAAAGACAACACTTCCAAAGAATCCAGTATCTCCAATCTTACAGATGTACAATGAATTTCTCATCTAATTTTCAAAAATTAAAAAAACTACCTTTTCAATTTTTTAAATATATATAAATTTTTTTTAATATATAAATTTTTTTTCAAAATTATTTATGCTGGTTATTGATTCGTGCATTGCCTCTGATTTCACACCAGTGTGTAAAATTTCAGATCAATTAGACAGGTAAAAGTGTGTCAAATATCAGTTATAAGATTTGTAGCTGACAAAATTATTTTTTCAATTTTTTTAATATTGAAAAAAAAATATTTTTTTTTTAATTTCTATAATCTTTTTTTTTTTTACATTTGATTCATGCATTGTCTCCAACTTTACACAAGTGGGCAAAATTTCAGATCGATAGGATAAGTAGAAGTGTATTAAATTTTGATTACAAGATTTGTAGCAGACAGACAGACAGACAGACAGACAGACAGACAAGAAGTGAAGTTAAAGAGAAGTGTTGTAATAAAAAGAGGCGATCTCATAGACTGTTACAAATATATCCACGGAGTGTACAACACCGCATCACTCTTCAAGCTGTTCATCAGTGACAGAACCAGAGGCCATAGTTTGAAACTTGTAAAAGAGCAGTGCAGTCGCCAGGTGCGCATGAATTTTTTCTCCGTCAGAGTGGTGAGCGTGTGGAATAGCCTTCCTGAACTGGTAGTTTCCGCCCCTAGTGTCAACTCATTCAAGTCTTGCCTGGACGCTCACTGGTCTAATCTGGCCACCAAATACGACCCTGACTGCTATCACTAAACTCGTATTTGGAACCCACCACGCACGTTGCTAAGTTAAATTACTCAAGCTTGGAAAGTGAAATTTTGATGATAATTGACCCATAAATTCCGAAACCCAATTGATATAACTAACATCTAAAGTCGTCTTGCAGCTAGTATTACTGTGGTTGAATTACCGCTGCCAAAGAAAAAAATGGAATTGTGATACTTTCAATAAGAAATTTTAACAATACCGGTAATTCTTTTCAAATGATAATTGAATCAATTGAAGTAATTCACTTACCATAGATAATAAACCTGGTCCGTCGTGTTTTAATACAAAATTTTCGTCATTGAAGCTAGGCCCGTATATGCTGGTTGTTCCAGTTCCGTCTCCCTGAAAATTGCATCAAACATTAGATCAGATTCTTTATTTATTTTTAATAAATGCCCAATAGGCACTAAACAAATTAAATTATATATAAATAAAAACATGCAACACAAGAAATTACTAATAAGAAAAATTCTCAGGTCGTCAATCAAGCTTGCATAAAATTTACTGGAATGGTGAGTGTGAGAGGCCTTTAAAAAAAACTTGCATAAATGACTTAAGATGACTTTTTAGGCCCCGCTACACTGAATAATCTAACTGCTTCAAGACTACACCTGCAGCAATGAATTATCTTACCCGGACGAAGTCTCCTCCTTGTATCATGAAGTCTTTTATGACTCTGTGGAAGGGGGCGCCCTTATAGCCAACTGGCACGCCGTCACGCCTCATTTCCCCCGTGCAAAGTTGACGGAAATTTTCAGCTGTTTTGGGGCAGACATCAGCATAAAGCTCCATGATGAGCCGGCCAATCTCCTGCAAACAAAGAAATAGCTGATTATCTAGAAAAGCAATAACACTATTGTACAAAAAATATTTGCAACATCAAGTTTCATGGCACAGCAACAATAAATGTTTGACCCCACAATATCTAACTCTAGTGAATGAGAGAAGAAAATCTTACATGATGGTGATGATATTGATAGGCAAGCCTGCATGATTATATTTTTGATAGGCTTAATTTTCTACCATCAAAGTAATTTTATGAACATCTAATAAGTAGTCAGCATCAATTTTTCATCATAGTTAGTCAGTATTTACCAGGGTTTTAGAGTCATAGAGTTTTTAGCACTTATTAAATGAGATTAGTGAAAAAATAAAAAATTTCAACAGAAAAAAATCAAAATTAAATACTTGAATATGTTGCGGAATGCAGATGTCTAGTGATAGAATTAACAATAAGAAGATTAAGTACATTTCAAGATACCAACATCATCTCAATTGTGTCTAACAACAACAAATTGGGTATTATAAAAGATACTTACTGTTACTGTTACTAGACTTACTGTTTGTCCAACAGTGATGTCAAAAAAGACTACTGGGTTGTCAGGATGTTTGAGCTGCTGTTGAATTTGATTCCAAGTGGGCATTGTGTTTTTGATTTAATGCAGAGCTTTCAAACAAATTATTTCTACAATATGGAAAGGCATAAAAAAGTGAAAATATTAAAGAATGTAACTAATTAGTCACAAATATACAATACACAACATGGAGATTTTTTTAAGTAGTACAGTGGTATCTCTGATTGAAAATGTTTGTTGAGGTCAATCAAATTGGTCTGTGACACATGGATTGAAAATTAGTCTTTTTAGAGCTACAAAATTATGGTAACAAGTAAGAAAATTCCAATCCTGGGTGGCATGCTCCCCTTTTATTTTTTGGGCCAAAATATGATAAGAGTGACAGAATTTCTACTATATATTATACCCCATCTTCAAGGCTATAATTAAGTATGTGCACAAACCAGGCCAGAGATCACAACAGAGCTACCAAAATGGAGGACAGGGAGTTTTTGCTTCAGCATGCAGGAGGCATTTAATTTTAAAATCCTGCCTAACTGGCCTCAAAATTTGACTGGCTTCTCTTTGGAATCAAACAAAAGAACAAAATTTCTGTAGTCTACTTGCTTGGCTAAGATTCACAAGGGGTGCCATTTTGTGTTAAAAATTATCTTTGATATCATATTGGGTTATTAATGAAAGATGATAGGAATTCAAGCTAACAGTTCTTAGAGCATGCTCTCTAAATTTCAGAGCTCTGCCAATAGTCGCACAGTGATGGTGGAAGTTGCAAAAAAAGGCAAGTACAACACCCTTGTGAATGGCAGCCGCAAACCGCAATGCCGCAAACCGTCAAGTGGGGTAATAAGGGACGGTTTTGAGCATTTTTTGTTAATAACTTCTTACTATGAAGCCACTGTGCAGAGAGTGGATGAATATTGCAAGATCTTTGGCGACGCTTCAGTAGCCAAATTTTCGCCTTCAGAAGATCTTGCCGACACATTTAGATTGAAATTCTTGCATTTAATATATTTCTCAGTCTTCGGCCAACTATTTAGAAAAAAAGTAAGGTTTCCGGTGCGTTGGATGGAATACGATGCAGCGAAGCTTGTCTGGAAATCATTTGCGATGAGTTCCCGCAAAAAATGTAAACAACGTTTTTTCGATTGCGTAGTTTCGGTCACATTAGAGCGGTCAGAATGCTTTATTACATGTTCAGTTGACCCTTGCTGTACAATCGGACTATTTTTAGGGTAAATGTTAGTTATTTGGGGTAACACGTGCATGCAACCTTGTAACTAAGTTCGTGGCTTGTAAATAGTTTGTCATTACTCAGCGTAAATGGCTTTTTATTAAAATTACCCGGCGACGCATCTTTAAAAATGGCCGGCGACGCTTTGGGCTTTAAAATACATATATTGGCAACGCTGCATCCACCCTCTGCATGGTGGCTATGAAGCATTTCATTAACAAGTTTGGGCTCATTTTAAAAGTTTTTGCAAGGGCTATTGTTTGGCATCTCCAAAAAAATTCCATATGCTATATGTAAGGTGCTAGGCAGCTAGAGGCAATATAAAAGGCTCCTGAATAAATCTGGAAACGGGATAATAAAGGATAAAGAACACTTGAAATAAAACTCAATTTTAAAAAGTTTGAAGCACGCAGAGTGTACTCATCTATTACTAACAGAGTAACAGTACTCTGAAGTCTTCCTCTTCCTTTTTAAATGATGAAAATGTAGAATAAATGACATTTTCTGTGATTTTTACTAGGTTTTTCTTTATTGATATAATATTATCTTAGCAATGCATTAGTGTATTATTAATGTGATATTACTGTAAGAATTAGAACTTAAAAGAATTATATGAATTAGAAATTTAGAACTTAAAAGAAAGTCTATACCTAACCAAAAAAAGGGTACGCAGTAAAGCAGCCGTGCACCACTAAATTTGTGCACCACACCTTTGACACCAATCAGCCTTGAAAGGAACGCGGCCGAACGCCTAGGGTAAACGCGGTATATTCCGTATTCCGACACATTAAGGACGCATTGAGAAATGAAAAACTATAAAAAAAAACCGTATGCGTTACGTAAGTTCTGTTGCCTTCACATGACTCTCAAAACACTTCACTACGCGTCAGCAACGATGAAACGTCACAAAATGTTGCCATATTTTTTAAAAAGCCTTTAGAATGGAAACCTACAAAATCCCTATATTCTGTCACTTTGTGTGGCAACATTCGACACGTGGTGAGTCGTATTGCGTCAGCGCTTCAAATTTAACTGATACGTATTGCCGACATCCACGTGTTCGAATTCAGAAAGAAACGCCTAGCATATTTCCGGATGACCACCAATCAGCCGCGGATTAAGCCATCCGTCGGTAACCAGCCCGTGACATCATCTTGCTTTAAATATTAGGAGCCTTACGCCACCAAATTCTGTAGCGAATAGCCCAGAGAGTAATGGTTATGCACCACTGAACTTTGCATCGAATCATCACTTCATACCCTGACTTTAGCTCGAACTGTAACTTGCGGACAACGGACTGCGACCAACCAGCCCAGGGCCTATACTTTCAAAATTCGCTGAGTGAACGTAAGTACTTACGCTCTATTTTCTTGTCTATGATTGGTGGATTTTGCTTGAGAGGCCGTCAATGATTGGCTGATGAACTTACGATCTCTCAACTTTTTTTGAATGTATAGGCCCAGGTCGCCAGTGGAACTGCATGCATCCTGCCGTGCACCACCAGAACCGTCACTTTTAGCTCAACATCCGGGGTTAGGTTCAGAAAGCATAGTTCTGTTCCAAACTCTATCGTCCGCCGGCGAGTGACTTCCGCAGCTTCGCTAAATTACGTAACTTTTAGCTTAAAGCATCTGGGGTTAGGTTCCAGATAGCATGGTTCTGTTCCAAAATTTATCGTCGTACGACGCGTGGCCGTTCGATCGTGGGCTGATTCGACACACGGGACAGATACGGACGGCTCCGGCGCGCTCCGTCCGGGTGGTGTAAAATTTTTTCGCGTGTTGGCAGACGACGCTGGGCCTTTCTACGTCAGGCTACTTTCCTGTGGGCTGATTGATCTAATTCATTGGATGTGATCTGTCTGGTGGCGTGCGGCTGATATTGTTACAGTCAAGATGTGTTGTAAGCTACGTTCTTCATAGAAGGGATCATGATAGTCCATTCGAAGCACTGCAGTGGTGGTCACCGACAGGCGTCCCGCTGAGATCAGTGACGTCACAGACGAACAACGAACTATATCCGCAAAAATGGGCTTCTGATGGGTGAACCTCATGGTTGAACTATATAAGGTTGGCCCACGAGAAGTTCCGTCTTTCAGTTCAGCTTTCTTGTTGCGTCACTGAGATCGAGAAACTTAAACAAACCCGTCGTTCCCATGACGGATTGTGCCCCTCACTGACGACTTCTGACGCGTGTCTGTGCGCGTCAGAAGTCCTATGGGATTTCGCGCTCCTAGGGGGATTGTTCCTTAGCGCCCCACCGCTGAGCTCGCGGTATCTGACTGCAGGTCTCAGTTGTGGGGTTAAGTTATTATGTAGGTAGGATTCCTTATATTTCCCTTCTCTGTCTCTCTCGTGCGGGCGGCCGACGTCCCGTGTAAGCGACCTCTTGTTCGAGTGTCATCGTTTCTGTTGCTTTTCACCTGTCCCTCCTTGTCACTTCGTCTCTTTGAGATGCTAACGCTTCTTCTTTCGAGCAGCTTCAGCGGGCTGGACAATTGAGACCTTCCGCCCCTTGTGGGTGATGAATAATTGAGACCTTCCACCTCTATGGTGATGTTCATCTTGACTTTCGGTGCAAGATAGCTAAATAGCTGAAGCGCTAGTGAACATTTGGCCACTAAACTAATTAACTAACTAACCATGACGGATTGGTTGACTGGTTTGAACGCATTTCGGTGCTTGGTTAATGCCCGTGACGTCACTGAGATCAGTGCCGTCACATGCGAACAAAAAGCTCCATCAGCGAAAATGAGTTTCTCATGGGTCAACCTTATACTAGTTCAACCATGGTAGGGAGTATTCCTTGCATTTCACTTCGGTCTCTCTCGTGCGGACGGCCGACGTCCCACGTAAGTGACCTCATGTTCGTGTTTCTGTTGCTGTTCACAAGTCCCTTCTTGTCACTTCGTTCCTTTGAGATGTTGAAGCTGTTATTTCACGTCAATTTCAACGGGCTGAAAAGTAGAAACCTTTAATCGCTTGTGGGTGATGAACGATTTTTGATTTGAGAAACTTTGAGACTTTCTACCTCGTCGTTCGTGTACATCTTGGCTCTCGGTGCATAGCTAAATAACTAAACTTGTAAACATTTGGACACAAAACAAAATCTTTATGTAGAGCACTCCAGCTCTTGCTAAATTGATGCGTTATAGTCTTTGCGAACTAACCTTACGCTAGTTTCTCCAAATAGATTGGGACAAAAAATTCTACCTCCAACAACGAGCACGTTTAGGCTTAACGCGGCTAAGGCATACGTTCAAGTAAAATGCTCGGCGGTGACCAATCAATATAAATTATCCAGATTCAAAGGAATGAATGAAGAAGCAGCATTTCAGAAAAAACATTTGGTATCGCGAATATTCTCCATAGACATGCTCAGTGACGAGAGCTATTTACAAATAATGATAAAAAAACAGGCTTATAGCAACATTATACACCCATGGAAAACAACTGGCGTTAACGAACAAGAAACATAAGACTTAACAATGAGAGAAGGTGCCTAAGTAGACGAAATGGAAAGCAGGTTTACCGAACGAGATGGGCTTTCTCGTAAGTGCGGTACACCAAATCGAAGCTAAGTAATAAGTAAAGGAGCTCCCAGAGAATCGTTGTGTAGCACACTCGTCTAACACATCATTTTACAAGCAGTAGCTCCTCTACAACTCTTCCATCCGGCAAGAGTATACCCATACATTACTTAGGCTCCTTAAAAGCAGTAAATAAAAGCTATTCTCTCAACTCGAAAGGCCTTAAGTATCTAGGAGATGGGTGCTCGGTGAGAAGCGGTCATTATTAACAGATTTATACACCAGCAGTACCTGCCACATCAAATGAAGGCACATTTGAGACGTTTCGTAATATATAGACCATATTTCGAAGCAGATTCATCAAAAACACATGGAAATGTCGGTGATCGGTGAATCGCTTTTCCTGTCAACACCAAGACAGAGCACACTTTGTGTGATCCTAGCAACGCCATAAAATATTTCTAGACCTTGGACAACTCTTGTGCGCTTCCTTTCAATACACGAACTCAAGGAATTAATTAAGGAGCGTTTTTTTTTCATTAAAAATTACAAAAAATATCCTTATAGTGATGCTACAATAACTGAAAAATTAATGTTAAATGAACAAAATTTGTAGTGAAAATGGCTACATTATTACAATTTCAGTACAGATAATTTCGTTTACGTGCAAGCGTTGCACGTCAAACCTTAAGTCTGTAAAATTACTGTAGATAAATTTGTGACGAATTCATGATACCATTGATAGTTAAGCAAAGAATTGCTGTCTTTGTTATGTGGCAATAGGCGAGTTCAGATTACACATTACAATATTATATCAGTTTCGGAATTGTTAGGAAATATTATAAAGATTCGGAAAATTGGCAACACAATATAGATTGGAATGACTTACAATGCTTGAAATGGGCAATATAATTTTATATAAATAAAATATTTTTGATGTCCGTATTCTTCTGCATAACGTAAATGTCACCAGTCGACATATATTTAATAAAAGCTTGTTATAAAGTAGGCACATAGTCTAAAGCTTGATGACACTATCAAGCAAACTGCTCAACCAGAAGGCCTAAAGATCACAGTAAATAAGGTACAGAAAGCAAGAAACTCGGAGCAAAAAAAATAATAATAACTACATCATTTATGAACCGTAAATAATGTGTGCCACAACAAGGAGTCAAAAACATTATTATGATCGGTAATTCAATTTACAAATGCGTAAAACTGACGGTCAAAGACAGGACTGTGCATCACATCCAAAAATTCAGCAGAAATTTATAACATTTTGTCGTGCTTATGCATCACTATACACAGAATGTTTTGAACCGTTCGGTGAGATAAAACAAAAACTAAGAATATAAAATTTCTACGAAAAAACAGTACAGTATAGATAACATAAATTTTATTGAAAATTTCTGCAGATGTAACTAAGACAGGATTATCACAAGAGGCCCAATAAGTCATCAATTGAGAGAAGAGAGAAGGTTGACAAAAAAAGCATTATTTCAAGGAAGCTTCTTACAAAATCCAGACATTGCACACTAAAGCGTACGGGGAACTAAGTCTCGGTAGAATGCCTGCACTGTCAGAGGCAACGAGAGTGCGGGACTCTGCTGAATGTGTTGTCTTGTTAAGTTGTTTACAGAAAAATGGTAATGTTGGATCAGTAATTCGGGAGTCGGCAAGATATTATCTGGAGTTGTCATGGAGTCATTATTGATCTCGAATGCGTTAGCTGTGTCCAACATAGGAGGTTTTTTAGAAAGCAACGCATAGGCAAATTCTCATAAATAACTTTGAGCAGTAATATTTACATAAAAAAATGTTATATGGGATTCAACATAATGAAAACAAAAAATATGCAGTTTGGAGAATCTAATTCTTATTTAAAAAGTTATTTAAAAAAATATAATAAGAGCACATGATATGTTTTTTGCTCCTAAGCCTGTCAGAAGATTTATCCACATCTCTTGTGTAACGATTCCTAGAGGCATTCAATATTCAACACTCATCAGTATTAGTTTGAACATAAAAATAAAAGTATTACAGAGGAGGTTCCAACACACCAATGGCTCAGCAGTACCAGACAGTAGGTCGGCTGTAAGCAGCTAGGGATGCTGATCCTATTACGAGCGTTGTCATAGCTCTGGCCCAATTATTGTTAACCTAAAGAAGTAATCTTCGAATCTTACAATACAACATCGTGAGCCAAAAATATTGCAGATGTTTACCATGATCGCCGTGCTTCCAAAACGTTTGAATGGTTCAAAAACTAAATCAATAATAAAAAATCTTCAAGTTGGAGTATTGGCATAGAAGCTATTACAAAAATCGAAAAGAAATCATCACACTTTGTGTACATGAAGTAACATATAAGTAGAGTGAAGAAGAGTAGAAGCTTGAGCAGCTAACATTACCAGTAGGCACGATAACGACAATGGTGACGTCGACGAGTGTTGCATGTGAAGGGAAGAATCGCAGCAAACATAAATACAACATAGTAGAGTTACAGTTTCTGATTGGTAGAGTCACTGAGAATTAGTTGAGTAAGAGCGCTACCAAAGTAAGAAAAATAATAATGGGCATTTAACAGATAAATAAATTAAAAAACTCAAATTATTTAGTCAAAATATCTCACGCACGCTGTCAAAATTTGCAGGTATGATTGCTACGGAGTTCTTTCGAAATGTTAACCAATAAAAAATAAGGTACCAGATTCATATAAAAATGTTATTTTTGCACAACTTCCGCGAAAAATTTCATTAAATGCATAACAGAATGGAATAAACCATGATTTATAAGAATTGTGAAAGAAAAAAAATAGCAAACGAATCTATCGAGGGCGCAACGCAGCACACCGCCTTTCAAGAACGTCAAATTCGTATACTTACACAGAGCATTTCAATTATCTAAATTTAATAAGAATATATACTCAACGTATGAAAATAGCCTTAAAATAGAATTGTTTCTCTTTTTACAATTAATTATGCCATTTGCAAGCAAAAATAATTACCTACGCACACTAAGACAGCACTTAAGGTGTGACTAACATGACTCGACACGCTACACCTAACAGGCAAGTCGCAGTACCTTATGGGCTAACTGACTACTTTACTTTACTCATTATCAGGCAAGCTTCATGGACTGTACTAACGACGGCACCTTGGAAGGCAGTAAGGATTCGCCACGGCGATAACATGATTTACTTAATTGAAATCAAGTGAAAAACGTGGCGAAGCGATCGCCAAATGACATCAGGATAGGAGACATTATTACGTTACGTTCGAGAGCGTCGTGTCGGGATGACAAGCCACTTCAGTATCAGATGATGAGAAGGCAATCAAAAACCAGCTTTGACGTTTTCTTGGCAGGAACATTGGATTATAGGTATTCTTTATTCAATAAATAGTTCTGCATGCCGACTGAAGGTGCGAGAATAATATGCAATACGGAGCTACATGAATAATAGCCTCTATCAATACAACTAGCGGGTAAGAAGATAGTCTCCCTCTGAGATTTACACGAGATTTCCATCAGATATTATCTTTTGAACAATATGAAAGAATGGTATCCGTATAGTAAATAATTCGCTATCAATACTCGATAGTCGTCATTTCAATCTAATAAACTCTACGACTACCCCAAAGTATTTCGTCACACACCAAGTCAAACAACTCGAAAATATTTCATTTCTTGAACCAGTGATGATTTAAATAGGAATATTAGTTCTTAAAACAACGCGGTGGAAGGAAAAAAAAAGATATGAGACGGAGAACTTAATAAAAGGAAATTCTTGACGTAGTAGCGCTTGGTCGTCAAGGCCATGACGCTCGTAAAACTTCATATGGAGGTCAAGAAATATTTTATAGACATTGGAAACAAGATGCTGATTAATTTTCAGCCTCTACAGGCAGTTCTACAGGACACCCACACACTAACATGTACAAAATAATTCTCTGCTTAAAGCGATAGATCGACACACACTGCACATATGTATTGGCACGACAATGAAGGCACTCGCACTGCACTCGAGCACTTGCTAGAATATTTTTCTCTTAAGAGTAGAGGCAAGAAATGACATCCCTTCACTTCATAACACTCATACGATGCATAACTCACAACAATAAAATTTTAATGGAATTTCATTTCATGAAAAAAAGGAAAGTATGGACAATCTTCAAGTTCTGAATCGCTCTACACAATAGAGCACATTTTCTGAGGCGGATACTAACGAGATATTGCAACATTCCACGATGCCAAGGCAGCTCCACATGAACGCGCCTAACGTCACATTAGCACTAGGCTTATTTCAAGTCACTCCTGTTACCACTCTGTATAAGGCGGATACATTTGTGATCCGGTACCATCTGTACCAAACGATACCGTCCTTAACCCGGAAGCAATTAAGGTGTAACCATATTTCAAGGCTCAAATTCAAGCACTTCGAGATAGGAACATGACTACTGAATTCAAATGAGAGAGAAGCGAGATGAATTACCATCACACCATGACTGTGTCATCATCCTCATCGTCGTCGGGGGGTAAAGTGCGGTTAGAAGGAGCGATGTGACGTCGTCGCTTGATGTTTTCCTTCCCTTCGACACCTGCAAACAACAAATCAATTAACGAGTGCTACGAGAAATTAAAACGCGTCATTGATTGGATAATCGATGTTGAAAGTTCGTTTCTTCCAGCCCATAACAGTTTGAGGACCGTGACATCAAACAAGTTGGCGAGAACAAATAGCACAATCAGTAAAATCTAAAAAAACTTACTTCCCTCGAAATAATGGGAATAATTTTGCCACATAGCAAAACTGGAAACGTATTCATCGCAATAACTGAGTATTAAATTGGGTTGTGAACAGGAGAAAACTAATCAGTTACCCATTAAATTCTCGCGAGAAACTGAAGACAGAAGAAAACTTGGGAAACAATGTAGTAACTACAAATTGCTCATGCAGCGTTCTCTATCGACACAAACTAATTGAGTAATTGGAAATTCTTCGTGTCCCACAGAGCTCATAATGAGCAGCAAAACTGGTCCACCGACCACTGGATGGCTTTTCAATTACTTTACATTGGCCAATGAGAGAAAAAAAGAAGCTTGCAAAAATTTCGTACCTCGTCATTCGCCATTTTATCCGTTTAGGTTTCGAATCATCCTAGGAATTATTGAGTTTTTTCCAAGTTGGAGATTAATGATTTCAAGTTTACGATTACGTTACGATCAGATGAAGTAATTCGTTATCTGCAACATTTATGCACAAATTTTAAAGAAGATTTCCAGGCGTCGTGAAGAAATACGAGCACTCACCAAGCAGAGCAGCACCACTACGTGCTCGCAGTTGAGAATCCTCGCTGAGTTGACGCCCCAACGCGGGGCGACGGTTGGGTAGCGGAGCTTCCCTCTCCGCCTCACTCCTGACCCCAACGCGGTATAAGTTTCGCTCACTGAACTCCAGGTCCTTCCTGCGAGTGTCAACATTTATGTCTTCCTCAGAGCCTGCGCGAGACAAGTCCAACGTGTCTTCCTCGCTGCTCCCGCCTGGCAATATCTCGGGTAGTCTGTCTTCAAGAAGCTCGCGCGCATCTTCAAGTGTGGAAAGTCGTTCTTCCAGATTGTATTCATGCAACGCCATTCTAGGGTCAGGCTTGACATTACTGCCAGCGACAGGGTTGCTCGATTGACGCTGCGCAGCTTTTTTACTCTCTCGTAAATGGTGGAGTTTAGCCGCAGTACTTGCTGCTTCGCTGTCAACCCGTTCTATGCGAGACAGTGTGTCTCGGTAGTCTTCCAGCCTTTTGCTGATAGCTCGCTCTATGATGAGGGTCTGTTTGCTTACATCACTCAGGCTCTCAGGAACTGGTAAACTCCTATTACATCGAATGATACAAGGAGAGAAAACTATTGCAAGAGAGTTGCAGTTCATGCGGTTATGCTGCTCTAGATGAGCCACTTTGGCCAAATGAAAGAAGAGCCTGCTTGTCAATTTTAAATTAAGTTCGGGCAAATTACTAATGATCTTATAAGCAGCCTCCTGCTGCTCCCACACGTCCGGCAAGTGGCTGGCGTGCAGCAGCGGGTCGTATGCGTCGTAAGTGAGCAGGGGTTCCGGCAGTTCACGTAGGAAAGCTTTAAGAAGCGTGGTGAGCACGTGCACGGGCAGCTCGGCGTACTGCACGGCCGCGCAGTCCTCTTCTATGAGCGCCTTCACTTCCCTCACCTGCAACAACGCTCACTTAGTCACTCTCTTAGCCACACAATGATTAGATAAGAATGTTGGTGTCACTATACCAGTTTCCTATGAAACCAAGTCAAAATTTTCTATCGTTTATCCACAGTGCAAAAAATCTGAATTCCGCAAATAAAATGAAGATCAGATGATGAAAAAGATAAAAACTATCTGAAGATTATAAAATGAATTATAGTATTTCTGGCTGAGAAAGTCGAGGTGACAATACCTTGGATGTGGCAGCGCTCTTCCTGTAGAGGCCTTCAGTGAAGAGTCCGTCGTGCTCGATAGCTTGGATGAGCCTGTCGACCACCAGCGGCACGCCGTTCACGAGCAGCTGCTTCTCTAGCGGCACTCCATAGACTCTGCTCGCCACGGCCCCCCCGCTCGTGTTGGCCCCACTGCTGCTCAAACACCTTAATGATCAACACACTAGGAAATACAGCTGATGTAAAGGATATTACGTGAATATCAATGAAGAGAAGTTCTTAGGTTCCTGTACTCTTGATCAGAAGTCGTTAAAGACAGACACTGTCATCACTCAGAAATTCTCCCCAATTGATTGGTGAATTAAGCTAAAATTCAGAACGAAAATGGCTAAGTTGAAAGCACATTAAACGCCTAAATAATGATAAAAATCATAAAAAACGGTTGCTTTTCATGGTAGTAAGTGATTTGGCTTCTTAAACTTTCACCATTCGATATTAAAAGATGCATTCAAGTTGCGGAAAGATTTAACCTATTCGAATGACTACTCAAGTTCAACAATTTATAACAAAGTTCAAGTATATCATATAAATTACCTGGAAGCTTGCTGAGATTTGTTTTTGGTCGCAGACGCCGTAATGACAGCTTTGCCAGCATTGGGACTGCAATGTACATCTACACTTGGCAGGCACTTCTCGTGACACGTCAATTTACAGCCTGTTAAAAAAAGAAAGCGCCCGCATCATCTATCTACACTAGAGTAATTGTTAAAAGTTTTTAAAAATTTGTGCATTGAGACGAATCTTCTATCAAAGAAAACTAGTTGTAAATGATGGAAAGATGGCAAATATTGTATTATTCCACATAGCAAGCGATGAGAACTGCACATACGACAATAGTTTATGGCCAATAAATATAATTCTAATTGAGCTTACTACTGCAAGTGAGTCCCTTGGCAGAGAGCCATAAGAATGAGTTGCAGACTTCACAAGATGTGGCGATGTTGATGAGCAGGTGAGTGAACTTGTGAGAGCCGTGCACTATTTCCTCCGTGGGCTGAAATTGCAGACATAATTACAAGAGAATTCTCAAACTACGACCTAAAAGCCATTCTGGAACAGGTACACCACAGTACGCGTACTGCTTCGAGGCTAATTCCAGCTCAACTTCTGACGATCCCATGACAGCATGCATAATAAATGTTTATCCTTTCAATTCAGCAAATTAATTGTGAATAACGTTATCTGAGAAATAACGTTAGAATTATTAGAAAACTATATTCTCTCGCGTGGATCAATGTTTCCACATTTTCTGGTTGTATAAATAGAACTGAAAAAAAGTATATAGCAGAAGTGTTTAAAAGAAGGATTCTATCAGGCGCCAATTGTTTGAGGAGAAACTTAATGCTTGGCTCGAGGCAACCAAACGTTAGTTTTCGAGTTTTGCCAAGCATATTAACACATTGAGCGTGGTCTCTGGGTCACCAGATGGCCTAAAAAAGTCCGCGGAAAAGAAGGCCTATAATTAAATAATTACTAGTAAAGTTGTGTGTTCAGGTGCAGACATTCGATTTTCATTTTTTTTCGTACTGTTTAAAGAAGGTGTTTGGTGGTGAAGGAAGTATCACCACCATAAATCTTTGCCGGTCAATGCAACTAAAAAATAAATCTCGTTTTATGTCCGCAAAAAAAAAGCACCAATTCACAATTATATAGCAGCATTTAATGAGAAAGCATGAAATGAGACCCAGTTAAAAAGTGTCGATTATTCCACATTCTTACATTATTCAATGCACAGCTCTAATGTTATAACCTTAACAACAGTAACATTTGTCAGTTCTAAACATATAAGTGATAACACCATGCAGCAGACACACAACCTTTTTCTCTTTCTTCTTGCGTCTGTTGGTTCTCCTGCGGCGTTTCTTGGCAGTAGCGTTCTCAGCCATGAACTCGTTGAGGAAGCCTCTGAAGGCGTTCACACCCATGGTCACCGGGAACGAGGAACACCCTGACTCGTGCTGCCGCGCCGTCGACTCCATCATCTGAAATGATGACAATAATCACTCATATTCAAATAACAACAACAATGATCAACCATTATAAAGTAAACAAAATGCGATTGTGTATTCCAAATCTATAAGGAAAATATGCGATTGTCTGACTTACATGGGGATCCAACCAAAGTACAGTCACACCAAGTAACACCAGAACTTGGATTCAGATTATTCACCTTCTCGAATTTGTTGGTGAGATCTTTGTAGGACAGAACTGGAGTGTCTGAGGAGCATCCGCTGTAGTCGCTCAGGAGCATTTCTTTGAAGGTGTGTAGCGATAATGTGAACACCTGGTCGACCTGAACACAATGTTGTGTAGCTTATTGGATACAACAAGCAACAAGTACATTCATTATACAAAATCCTCGATTGAATGTGGAAAAAGTGCAGATTTCCATTGATAATAGTTGCTTTTTAGTTAATATTGGGCAAATTGTTTGATATATTCAAGGTCCTTGTCTTTGAAACCGTATTTTATAGGGAACAATAGCATAAAAAATTAAATCGATAGATTTAGGAACATTTATTTTGAAATTTCACAACTCTTTCTCGCTTTGCGCAAGACAAGGGATCATACTTGTGAATCCTTTTTGTCACTCTCCGCCATGATTGCAGCTGGTCCATCATTAGCGTTGCTCCCGCGGCCCTCTTGGCCGCTTTTGTGAGGTGCGTTCTTGAGCCCGTGCAGCTGTCACCAAGTAAAACCATACGCAAAATGAGCATCATGCAGACAATAAAAAATGCATAACTAGGACAGCATACAAGGCCTGAATATAGCCTCCACTCTTCAGGGCACGGCTCCAGCATCTGACAAGTTCGTTCAAAACTTGCGCCAGATCTCCAAACATTATTTAAACCCACAAGACCAATAAATTATTTGGTAATGCTTGAAAGATATTAGCTGAAGTGTTCGTTGACTATTTTCTATCGCCAAGCTAAAGGACTATTTGTTCATAATCATAACATAATAACTGAGAGTACTCGTAGTTAGATACATTTTTCTATCATTTGCTTTCTCTTCTAGATTTTATGAAAATTCATGAAAGTAAACGTATTATGAAAGTAAATTTTATTCTCAGGGCTGGTAATTTACTCACCTATGCACTAAGCTTCTGTTCTGATATAGCTAATGGAGGTACTCACGTCAGAAATTTTTCAACGATTTTCTTTGATCGCAACGAACATGTCGAAGGGTAATACAAAAACGAGCACTTTCTCACCTTCAAGGAAATAAACCTCTCGAGCGCCTGCAGCTGTTCTTTGTTGCGAACCACTTCGATGGTGCGGTCCTCGAACTGACTGCTGCCCTTCAGGTTCCACTGATTATCAGCCCTGCCACTGCCAGCACTAATGTCAGTCAGTCCAGCTGCAGAAGGTCGGTGAAGAGCAGGTGTCGTGTGTGCCTTCTTGCCAGAGACAGAGATAGAGTGCCGATGGTAGAGAGGCGGTGAAGTGCCAGCAAGCGCGTCACGATTGCCAGACGGAATAAGAAGCGAACTGGAGTTACGGCTGCACTGAATGCTGCTGCTTTGGTCCAGGCATCGCTGGTGGAACACGCGCCGGCACACTGCAGTCACAAAAATGAAAATTAGGTGGGATTAACATGAAAGAACTATGATGGATGGGTCACATAAATTCGATCTCATGTCTTACTTTACTTATTTTCGATCTCATACTTAAATCGAGAAAATGATGGGACAATTAAAATTTCAACAGGTTGACGACATGAAGCTGGCGGCTTACCTATGCACTTAAAGCCTGGGTTAAAGAGTCTGTTGGTAAATATTCCGTCACAAACACCGCAAACGTCTCCCTTCTTAAGCTGGCTTTGTTTGAGGCTATGTACGCTGCTGGCCAGGATCTTCTTAAGGTGGGCGCTGCTCACAGCCGACGAGCTCTCCGATGAGCTCAGGGACTCGACCTCTAGGGTAGCAGATGTGTCCTCTCTGCAACACAACGGGCACTGAACAAACATGTTAACCCTCTACCGCCTGACACGAGTAACAGGAGCAATATTATCACAAGCCTAATTCACAAAACTGATACGTTCTAGTGAGCGCAAAATGACTGGCACTGATGGTTGCCGCCACGTACGAGAACTTAAAAATGTTTTCTGTTGCGTCCAAATGTCCTCAGGTTGCTACACTCGATGGTTTACGTGTAATTTAAGCTGAAAGTTATGTTCTCGGAGAGTGGCGTGCGGTGGTCGAGGGTTAATGCTTAATGACACAGCACAAGTTAATAACAGGTCCATAGGTTCTGTTCTACAGGAAACTGGAACCGCAAGTGTCGTGAAACGTAAATTAAAATGGTCTGAACGAAATATCTTTAACTACCGCCAGACTCCATCTAAACTGCCTACGATAGTCAGACTAATACTAACATAGTGTTGTTGGAGAACCAAAATTCATTTTAGCGCGGACATATATATACTTCAACATATTGCTGACTGATCTTTGTTTGCAGATGATAAATTACATGACCATGCATCGTGTAACGATTACAACTGGATGATATTACCTAAAAAGACCTAAATAACTAAATTAATAAGAACATTGAAATTGAGTATTCTAAAAAATGGGCCTATACCTAAAGATAACAAATTCGAAATAATCCAGTCTAGGTTGCGTCACACCATATCGCTGGCAAGTGAAGTGAGGTAGATTGCCTCGAGTATGTAAAGTCTAACCGCGTGCCGGAGCAGAGGAAGTCGGGCGGCAGGGAAGATTCAAACGAGGGGGCGCTGATATATGCGAGAGGAAGGGTCGTCTGAAGGATGGGGGTGAGGGGGACGCTCCCCTCGCTGGTTGTAGACACGCTGATGTTGTCGTCATCAGCGGGGTACACGCTGCCCGCGCCCTCCTTGCCTTTACCTGCCGCCGGTCATTGTACAGTCTCATTCCAAAGCTCCATAATAATATATTAATACGGAGAAATTAAAAGCCTAAGGAGCAAAATCATATCATCTATTAATGGTGAAAAGATAATACCGGATAGGCAGTCAGTCTCACCCATGATATTTTTGAAGGTTCTTTTAATGTTGTACTTTTGCTTGGTAGCCTGCGTCCCCAAGAACACGGATTCGTTGGGCAGCGACGAGGACTTGGCGGGCACGGCTGGAACTCCTGGGGGCGGGCGTCGGGGTGAGAACACGCGTGAGATACGAGGAAACTTATAAAGCAGGTGATAAGGTGTAGGAGCAGGAATAATGGCGATAAGGGAAGGAAGAATGGCGATAAGGGAAGGAAGAATGGCGATAAGGGAAGGAAGAATGACGATAAGGGAAGGAAGAATGACGATAAGGGAAGGAAGAATGGCGATAAGGGAAGGAAGAATGACGATAAGGGAAGGAAGAATTGCGAGAAGGGCCGAAAGAAAAAAGATTCCTAGGTAAACAGGAATTTCGAAGCTAAAAAAATAAATTAGGAGCTAGCACTAAAATTTTCAAATTCGTTGGAACATCATTAGATTACTGAAAGGAAATCGGTACATTTTAGGCCGATGGCGCAAGATCTGTAATTTTTGGGGTAAACAAATGATTTGCAAAGCACAATATTTAAAAACCGAGCAGGATACTTTAAGTGAACGGAGCATGGAGAAGAAAAATGATAACATTATAGTAAAACTACAAGTAGAGGCGAGTTGTGAAGAAAACTACTCATAGAATCAATGTGGAATTATTTCAGTGGTGCCATAAATTACACTGTTCATTGAAGAAGCCACCGACCTGCCCTCGGACGAACAGGAAACAGAAGTAAATGATCCGCTGCATCGTTCTGGGCAGTCGGAGATCGGTCCTCTGCTTCAGTTAAGCTGTCCTCGGAAGCTGAAACGCGGAACAAACGTTCAAATCCATGAATGGAATCCTTATAAATATGTTTATAAGAATGCAAGGTTTTGAGTTTGCTTACATTGCTCTCCCGTAACACGGATACCAGTGTCGCATGATAAACTCCACCTCTGAAGAGCTAGTGCGGTCACAATGAATTCAGAGTTCACGCATGAGCTTCGTATTTGTGCTCCGTGCATTCGAACCGACACCTCGCTCAACTTCGTTTCCAAGAAATATTGAGTTGAAACAATGCTAGATTATTTTACTCTAGAGCAAGTTTGTTTCTGGGCTTATGGGTGTGAAAACCTCCCTACATGTGGCATGCGTACTGTAGCTGTTTTTTTCCCTGCTCTCAATTTTGACTTGACGCTTGCTTCAATTTGGCTGACCTTTAAACACGTTATCTTTATCATTGGTTTGCCTCAGGCTTCAATTTAGCTTCTGCGGTCTTCCCGTGAGTTTTTCTCTGGCTTCACTCAAGTTTATTTTATTTTGTTTGACTATAGCTCACATGGGTTTGAAATTTGGTTTACATGAGTTACTTGCATCTTAGTTGGACCTCACTCTAACTTCAATGGACTTTGCTGATTATAATTTTACTTTACATGATGTACAACGCCCTGTCACATGCATAATACACGGTTTTTAGATTAATACTCGGCTCTTAGAAACACCTGGGATTAGCTGGGGAGAAATGCAATGCGTACCAACCTATCCCGGGCAACGCCAGTTTTTTTGTTGGTAGTTTATATTTTGTTAACAACGTTAACAAGCGCAAGACATTGAGACACATGAAAAGCTAAAGCAAACATTATTTAAAGCTATAACATAGCAGCAGAGAGTCAGATCAATGCGCAGCATCTCAAATGCTAATTGGAGTCATCTCCTAATCAAGTACTGGTAGAACTTGTGAGAAATATGCCTCAAATATATATTTCCTCTGAAAACATTCTTTTCACATTACAACATTTAGAAAATAGCAAGACGTATCCAGGTTGAGAAGCGCAACTGACCGTATGCTGGACCTTTGGCGTGGCCCAGAGAAGGAGGCGCCACTTTTGGGTAATGCCGATGCCGGAAGCTCTTGGTCTTGCCGGGGGGGCGCGACTCCCCCCCTACAGACCCTTCGCCTGGGGATGACGGTGGGCTACTCTCAGCAGAGACAGAAGCTTCAGTGTCCTTGGGGCAGGAAATGAGCGTAAAGTATTAAAAATAAATTTCATGTTGCAAGAAAAAGAATTTCATGTTGCAAAAGTGAGCACAACTCAAGTTCTCTACATCTTATTGATATCCAAAGTTTTCTCGAAATATGTATAGAATAAAATTAACATATAAAACAGAAATGTGTTGGACATAAAATAAATGATTATTTATCGAATGAAGAATAACGCAAAAACATCCTATTTCGAAGGAATTGCCTACCTACTTCTGCCAAAATTAGAAAACGATTTGCCTGATTTCCAGAACCTCGAGTTAGATAAATTACAGCAATGGGGCAGCAACTTACGAGAGGGACCGAGCGCTGCGCCGCTAGCCTCTGTCCCGCGCGGTACTGCTCGCTCTGCCTCCTCACGCCGGCCACGCCCACCTGAAATAATGATACATCTTAGCAACCAGCCCCGAGAAAGACATGGCTAGTGCTTCTTGCGTTTTGACATTTTTATACCTTGTACTAATAAATAATAGCAAAATCACGTGCAACACATTACAGTCAAAATAAAAATATAGTACAAGACCAAAAGTGAAGTTCATGTCCCTACTCATGACACGTAGAACGACTCAAAATAAATCTCATACATGCGTGCCTAAATTTTGCACTAATCAATAACAGAGAAGTAGCAACTCACGTGTTCCGGTGCAGCGATGTTGGCTGCAGATCTCCGTCTAGGAGGTGGCCGCTGAGCCGCAGCAATTACACTTCGGTTATCATGTTCACTCATGACGTCACAGGACGAGTGATGACGCTTCGCAAGCTCGTTCTTCAAAACGATGCTACCGAGCAACTCGTTGGAATCATTGGCAGGTTCAGGTAGAGACGAACGATTTGTAACAAGATTAAAATCAGACTCGGATTTACCTATAGTTTTTTTCTGATTACGTGGAGGTAGGAGACCTACAGATTCATCTGATGCTTTTCTTCTGGTGTAATTATTCGTTTCTGGGTCTACTATACTGTTTACTTGGGATATAACAGAAGACTTCCGACTAGCGGCAGAAGACTTATCGTCACTGTCTTCCGTCGAGGCTCTTCTGATGAGCTCAAGCCGTACTTTAGAGTCCACCTTGTCTGACTCCTCGGCAGGCTCTCGCTTAGAGCTGCTCTGGTCAGGGAGCGCAACAGTTGGACGTCTGGAGGAGAATAGGGACGACATATCACATGAGCTGTTGGCAAAATAAAGTTCTTGTATATCTTAAAACTAGGAAAAATTCAAACATTTTTGCTAATAAACTTCTTCAAAAAATTAGCAGCATAAAAATATAAGTTGTTCTACATTAAACCTACAAGTTGCAAAGCTAGTTACTTGAAGAGTGAAATTGGGTGGAAGACATTCAAATTGTATTAAAACTTCATATGCCTATTTCCACTTTTATTTGAAGACTTCTGACTCACTACAATGATAGATTACAGATATATTTTCAAAAGAATTTCCCCGATATTATGAGGGTTTGGGATATATGTAAACCTATTAACCATTTTACAGAGAAATGTGCAAACTTTTAGTAACAAATTAATAGGCAGTGAATAAATATTGAATTGTAATGTAATCTTTGAGTGGCAGACCTTTGTACGTGATCTGGTGGCGGCGCATCAGAGCTGAGATTAGAGACTAGTGTGGAAATGGAGGACCGGCCATCATCAGGAAGCTGTTCGTGAGGAACGGAATGTCGCTGCCGAGCCGCCTCAACCAGAACTTTAAACCTGTGCAAGTGCAAGAAAAGATGTAAGCGAACTTGGGTCATCCAGTGCCTGTTGCGGTGCTATCACGCAACGCGCACGACACAGAAAAATCATTCATCGCTAAGTATATACCATTCAGCAGCAGGTTAGCATATGTGACGTTCGAAGTGCAAGTGAGCAAATAATTGATGTAGTTCAGTAGGAATGACTCCGTAAAATTTATGGGACATGGAATAAGTTGAGTTAAAAGGCTCGAAATCACCTCTCGTCTAATGGCACAATTTAATAGCCAAATTACATGTACACAAGAAAATAGTGTCAATAAAATTGACATTAGGTCAGACGCAGCAGATATCCTTCAACAATGAAAAAAAATCATCTGTGTTTGTGCCTCGCGGGTAGAGACAGACCTGGCGCGCGCAGCGTTCCCCCTGAAGCCGCACTGAATGGCAAGGACGGCCCTGCGAATGGCGAGGAAGACGCAGCGCTGCCTGTAGCCGCGCCACACCCGCTGGATGAGAGCAGCAGCGCGGTGCTGCAGCTGTAGCCGAGCCACGTGCTGCTCTGCCAGCCACCTCCGCACGCAGCACTGCAAACAAACGACAGTCAGTAATGTATGCAAAAATTGACGAGATAAAAGAAAAATTTTGAATTACTTCGAAATTGTACCAAGATTGAGAAGAAGTGAATCTTTTTGAAACTATAAGTCAGCATAGATAAAAGCACTTCACACGATCGTTTAGCAAGTGACGTATAAATTTTCAGAGGGCACTTGAAGCTTTCAATAATGAGGTCAACTCACTACAATAAGACTCAAACTAAGGAATTTTGTTAGTTCCCTCCCCTCTCCTATTTCCTCTTGCCACATAAACTCAGATTAACATTCGTTTGATGCATAACTGCAGAGATATAAAAATATTATTAGTTCATAGATGCAACGTTTTTGCATAGGCGCATTTGTTTTTTGCATCACATCATTACCTTTTGAAAAAGTGGGCTAAAAAACTTATAACAGGCCTTTGATGGCATTTATTACGATTTACCTGAGGAAAATACCACTTGAAGTTGCTTCTGAATAAACGGAGAATTCATTTGATAATTTAACTGCGTGGAGCGCTAAAAGTAATTCATTTCAATTCAAAACTCCATAAATATTCCCTTCAAATACGTTTCCTGGACTTACATTACAAGGTAAAAATGCAACTGCCAAGACTAAGAGTCTGCAACTGCCAAGACTAAGAGTCTGCAACTGCCAAGACTAAGAGTCTGCAACTGCCAAGTCTAAGAGTCTGCAACTGCATAAGAGTCCCCAAGAGTTGAACGTACGAATACCTGTATTCTGAGAGCAGCGGCTCTGAGGTTAAGGAAGTGCCTGCGTTGCCGGACAGCTCTGTACCAGCGCTGGATAAGCAGGATGCGATTAAGGATGGTATGGTGCAGCAGCGTGTTCAGCTTGCTGCGCTCGCTTTCCCGCATGAAGATCCGCGTCCTGCCTTCCTGGTGCTCATTTCTGTCCAGACCTGCCGTTCCGCTGCACAGGAATGCCTTCACGTCCGCTTGTGAGCTGCAAAATTGAAAAAGTATTCCTTTTAGTGAATGTAAATCCTTATACCTCGTAGTGAATTGAAATAACTAACGATTTTCATGCGCGGGTCTAGGACGCACGGCAGCAAAATCGTTGGTCGGAAGAGAGACAAAGTCCAAGAATCACTTATCTTTCTGGTTACGTTCTCCTTCATTCACAAGTAATTCATTAGGGGCTGGGTTACACTCACAGGAGTAATGAGAAATTACAGGAGTAATGAGAACCTGTACAGAATGCGACTTCTGTACTCTACATCGGAGACATTCACGTATCTTGTGACGCGCCTTGCATTATTCGAGAGCTCGCGACCGAATGCTTAAGTAATGAATGTAACACAAGATCAGTTTGGTCTTCAGAACAAAGATTAGTCCAGCGTGCCACTATGGGCAACGTATACTAAATGGTAAAACAATTATTGTTACGAACACATCAACTACATTACTGACGAATAAAAAATTTCCACAACCAATCAGGTGTCCGTTTCCACAAAAAAAAATCTATTCGATATAAAAATCCTTACTTGGGAAATAAATTTACACTAAGGATAAGCTATACTTTTAAGCTTACAAATTGAAAGCTTTTAGCCAATAATGACAATGAGTACATAAATATATAGTATTAAGACCAGTAAAATAGACAATAACCGAGAAGAGAATAAATATAGTTTACAAGACAGGAGTTAGAGGAAGTCACTCAAACCTTTATCAAGATAAGAGTCACCTCAACAAGCCTTTGGGCAGCAGGATGCGGTAGTGCTGGATGAACTCGTCGTAAGTGAGACGGACGCTGTAGCCTGCCTGTCTGATCCTCACAGTCTCGAGCATGCCAGTGTAGCGCAGCTGGCGCATCACCAACGCGTCGTCAAACACGTTCGCCTCCTGAACGAAGTGCCCGAGTACATCAACATTTAGGAACAGAGGCAAAAAGCTAATAATGAAACATACGAGGAATGAGGCCAAGTGGGATACCACTATATTTGCACAATAGGGATTTTGTGAATACATTTTGCGGGCATGGATTTACCTCAAGAAGATTTCAATGAAACAATTTTCCTTTAAGAATATACCAAATGAAATTGGAAGACGAAATACACAAACAGTAATATCAGAGCATGTAAGCCAAGCTTCATAGATATTTTATTGCACAAAAAAGGGTGACAAACCACAGTAGTTCAATCCTAACACAAAGAAGAAAATAAACAATTCGTCAAAATTGAGAGGAGAAGCATTGAAGCAAGGCATTACCTTATTGGCGTTGCTTTTAATGCAGCGAATGAAGTAAGGGTTGGCCTGACTAAGGGTGTCCATGAGGGCTTGAAGTGAGAGTTGGAACTGCCCTGTGACGGTATAGGTCTGCTTCCTGCCACCCCTGCCCTGTGTGCGCTGCGCCAGTGCCTTCACCGTCTGCAGGCTCTTATTGCGCGCGCTGCTGCACGTGCTGCTCCGTAGTCTATTGTTGAGGCCACTGCTGCTGCTGCGCGAGTACCGAGTTCTGCGGAGCCGACTAAAGAAAGAGAAAAAATACACGGTAATTCCAAAGCTCTCGGTTAATAATAACTTATAATATGGACATGAGAATGGGTAAATTTTGGCAAAATATAAACAGGAATAATAAATATTGTATAAACAGCAACAAAGTTGTATGAAAGTCTTGGTGAGATCAGCAATGAATACGGTGATCGCAAGTCCTTTTTGCCTACTCACTTGTGGGAGCTCTCGAGTGCGGCGTTTATTCTCGACTGATCTATGACGTACTTGGAACGTCCCTGACTCCCACGACGACTGCTGTTGTTATCATCTGTAAAATAGATGGCAAATTGAAATATAGTTATATGCTCATCCCGTGATGAAGGCATGAGAGCTGTGAAATAATCACATACTGATCTACAGTATGTACACGATTCATCTCTGGAAAAATTGGCAAGAGGCTTGTTATTGCAACAGGGAGATAAGTACTGCTGAAAATGTCCAAGTAGGAGGAATATATCATATACAGTATTATATAGATATATATTAATATATATGATATCGCAATTCTTCACAAAGCTAAATTTTACAGAAGGTGAGTCTGGTGAAACAAATTACTTTGCAAAAAAAAGTTGGGCTGCTTATTATCAATGATGATGTACCAATTATTAGAATAGGTGCCCATCGGTATGTACAAGGAAATGGTAATATCACTGATCATGGATTTTCAGAGGTCAAAGAGAAAGAATATGAAGATTAATTCAGCACAAGCTATAACTATTGGAATAAATCTACTGACTCTTGATGGTGGTGTCCCTGAAGGCGTTCACGGCTCTGAAGAAGGCCCTAAGGATGGCCCATCTGTAGACGGCGACGGGATCAGCACCTGCAAGCTCACGCACCACGCTGTACTGGCTGTGCTTCAGCACTGTGATCACCTCAGGCCGCATCAGGTCAAGGTTCTTCTCTCTTATGCCACTCACCTGACGCATATTGAGAACCTTATACTACTTTTCTCTACGACAATAGCACATTATCATTATGAATGATTAAATTATGAATATGAAATATATATAAACGTCGAATCAAATGTTTAAGGACTATATATAAATATCAAATATAAATGTTTAAGAATACAACACAAGTTAATTAAGTTATCAAATTATAACTTTTAATTAAGTAATCAAATTAATAACTTCCGATAACTTGAAGTAGGTATAAAAGAAAGAACATACAATTAAATTAATTTAGACAATGGCGGCTAGAACATGAAGCAAGGAGTTTATCGGCTAAGCTACATTACGCTTTCAATACCTGATACTTGACTGGACCAGCATAATGGTTGATTATGAAGGCACTTTCTCTACGCTGAGGCATGCCGTAGTGTGGGTTGTCTTTGTGCACCGAGTTGATCTTCTCGAGGAAAGTCTCATCGGTTGACCCAGGGAAGTTGCACTGATCGTCCAGTATGCACAGCAAACCTGTCCGCTTTGCTTCAATTAACGCCAGGCAGTCAACGTTGTCCTGCAAGTTTAAAAAATAATAGTCAACTTCAGATGAAAGTATCACTTAAATCTGGTAGTATTGGTACAATAAATCCGACCAGTTTGTTGAGTCAAATAAAATCCTACGGCATAAAACAATAATGAACAAAATAATATCTCCAGGAAGGGGATAAATAATGATTGTTTTAGTGTCGGCAATAGACAATGCTGGTTCTTCCTATTATTTCACAAAAATTTCTATCATGAAGTTTTTTTTCTTCAATAAATAATCAAACTTTAAAACTTTATCACAAATTCAATTTATCCTTTCAGCTGACTAATTAACAATTAAATGTGAAATCAACTCTAAAGTAAAGATTTGCACAATGATTCACCATTGACTTTGTGTAACTTATTCCAGTTCATCGTCCAGGTAAGAAAACTGAGTTGGGTAAATGCAAATGCAGAACTGACCTGGAATTCGATGTGCTTCCAGGGGATTCCTTCCCTCTGGTATTCTTCTTGTTCATACTCAAAGACATGCTGGTTGAAGTAGCGTTGCAGTCTCTCATTCGCGTAGTTAATGCAGAACTGTTCAAACCTGCACACCGCAAATAACTCAGTATTAATTCCGGCAGAGTAACTTGACTGAATCAAGTGCTGAACATCTTGAGACTCGGCAAAACAATCTCCATCAGTTACTATGACATTATCAATTGTACAAAATACAACCTTTAACTATGCTGACCAATTTAAAATGGTCCATTGTTTTTGTTAATCAACTATTCATTGAAGGACTATTATTCAAAACTTAAACTTCAGGTAAAAATTTTTGTTCATCTGAGGCAGCAATAAGAAATTTCTTATAATGACGACATGTTTTTCACCAGACAACCTGGCAGCCAAATCAAATCCCCTACAATTAGAACTAAAATGTCATCTCTCGAGCCATTCCTATTCCGTGAAGACAAATGGCGCGTTAGAAACTACACACGGCCGTGACAAGAGACCAACCTGTTTTGTCCAGGAAAGTCCTCAAAGCCAAAGATGTCGAGCACGCCGATGGAGTTGGTGGACTTGTCGCCTGTGTGGTCTTTGAGGCTCAGCAAGGAGTAGTTCAGCTGGAGCACAATCCAGTCAAAGAGCGCCCCGTACAGGCACTTGGCTAGTGCGTTGCGAGCCATCACAGCCTGAACACAAACATTTAGTTTAAAAAATTACTATAATAAATATATACACCTGCAAACCATTCATGGAGAAGATAAAGACTAATCTTGTAGCACGTCTTTTCAAGAACTTAATTGCTAAAATAAACTAATAATTCACTTTCCTTATAAAGCAGAATTAGATCGATGTGAATCAAGAATCACATCAAGAAAATCAGAATGAGTAATTTTCAACGAATTCTCGTGAGGGATGTCAATCCCCAGTAAACTGAAGGTAATACTGAGTGCATTTAAAACAAAAAAGTAGCGTGAAAGTCGTACGTCGCTGAGACGGTAGTTGATGATGAGCACTTCACCCTGCACCACAGTACGCTTGGCAGTGAGCGCCGACAGCAGCGTGTTGTTGGCAACGCCCAGCAAAGACGCCACGATGCTCACCACCTCCGTGTTGCGCACCATGACGCTCTCGTCGTGCTGGTACGCACCTCGCGGCTGGTGGAACTCAACGTTACCTGCACAAACGCCATACAATGTATACTTTCAATTGGATTAACACATCAGTAAAACATTTTAACATTGCATATCGTAAATCCAACACTCGTCATATGAGCTAATGTTTGAAGCTGTTGCATGGAAAGGCTGCAGAGATGTGAACAAACAACAAAAATACTACTGATTAAAATTCAGACCGAAGCATGCATTTATCAATGGGATATAGTAGCAAAAAATACAGCATTTTCACCTAGTAGAAGTACGGCGGAGAGAACACTGAAGAGCCGCTGCTGCTTAGCAGTCGTGAAGCCCACCATCTCCATGCTTTGCTTCAGGCGCAGGAACTCGAACTGCTCGTCGCAGCCTTCAATGTTGTAGCATTTGCTCTGAATGGGACAAACCGTACTAGTGAACAACTGTACAAACAGCCTTCTATGTTGTAGCATTTGCTCTGAGTAGGAGATCAAACATCGAGAAACTTACGAGGTAGGTTGAGAGGGCGGAATTTCGAGTGGCTAAAGTGACTCAAAAGCTTAACTCATTGATGATGCTTGGTGCTACATGATCATAATTTTCGAGAATAAATAGTGATTCAAAGTAAAGCATAAAATGTCATGGTTTTAAAGTTGATAATTTCCACAGAAGACACTTAGCAAGCTGAAGTCAGGAGAAATTGTAGGCACATCCCAATAACGTTGAGATTTGTCCTAATCTCAATCCGGCAAATCTTACCTGATTGAGGTAATTGTAGTCTTTGGGTCTAAGGAGATTGAGGGAAGTTCTCTCCTGAGGAGTGGCACCCGCCAGCAGATAGTAAAAAACGTGGTAACTGCGTTCGTTCAGAGCTTGCGAACAAATGCGCGACTTTTCCAAGAGGTATTTCTGTACACAGGCCCTGCACAGTCACATGTCATGATGCTCATTACAATGCTTTATGCACAGTACAATGACGAAGTATCTTTCATTCTATGGTAATGGGCTTTAATATTGATGAAGTCACAACTTGCACAAGGAAAGAAACAAATGACTCCAACAATCTCAAATTTGACCGGTCAAAATTGAAGATTTATTGTTTGGTTTCGACTGGCAAGGCCAGGATTCTTTACAGGGCTAAACAAAAGACCAAAATCATGAGAATAGTAATGAAAATTTAATTCATTGAATTAATATCAAGTACAAATGAGCTAAAGCGAGAAAATGTTATTACTTCCTCACAAGGAATTGTCTAAAAGTTTATATATGTCACAGTTAAAATACTGACCCTTGAACGAGGCCGTTCTCCTTATAGCTAACTTGGATGAACTTTCCAAATCTACTGGAATTGTTGTTGTGCTTTGTCTTTGCATTACCAAATGCCTGTAAAAAGAACGAGATCAACATGATTCATTTCTCTGCTTTCATTCAAGATTCAAAATATTAGAAATTTTCAAATGGAACACAGCTCACGTGAAGTCATATATGCAGCACTTTTTATTTAAATCTATACAATATAAAACCAAACCTGAAGAAAAGAGGACTATGGATCAAAACACAACTTTTATACTTGGCGCCAAATGAGCAAGCAGCTAAACATTAAAAGCCAATAAAAAGTTAGATACTAGCCGACCTCCAACACAGGTCCGGAGCTGAGGATGGTTTGCTCAACTCCGCTGCCATGAGATCCCTTCTGACTGAGCATGGTGAGGTGGTGTAGCAGGAAGAGCGTGGACTCAGTCTTCCCACTTCCACTCTCTCCGCTGATGACAATGCATTGGTTCTTGCGCTGCTTCACCATGCTGTGGTACGCTGAGTCGGCAATTGCAAAAATGTGTGGGGGGAGTTCTCCCATTCGATGGTTTTGATAGATCTTTACATACTTTGGGTTGTATATAGGGTAATACTTGAATGGATTGACGGATATGAGTATGGAGCCCACATAGGTGTATATGAGGCCATTTTCAAAACGAACTTTGAGGTTTTGTAGGAGAGTTTCTTCAGTCAAGTTACTGAGCTGACAGAGATCAGGATGCTCCTTCTCTTTAGTCTCAGTGTGCAGGAATCTTTTGAAGTAATCACGAATGATTTGCGATTCATAAGGAGAAGGTTCACAGCTCTGTTGTTCTGGTTTCTCCCGCAAGCAGAACCTGTAACACAAATAATGGAAGGTTAAAAGGCAAATCTAATCAGGGTTTGTATCTACATAGCATTTGTCATAACTGTAATTCTCATCTCAACCAAAAGATGAACATGAACACAGAATTGGCCTTAAGATTAAACACTCAAATTTGAACAATTTTAAATTTTTAAAATGAGTGGTAATTATAGGTAAGAAATTTAAGTAGCTGATGGAAGCATACCTGTATTCCTGTGCTTCATTTTCATGTGATATTGAATTCTGAGGCCAGAGCCCCTGGAGACAGGCTGGAGTTTCATCTGATGCCAGCCTGCGCTCCTTGCATTCTTCTCCTTTTGCATTATGAACAACTTCAGCCAAATAATAACTGCAACAAAGATATCAATATGTATAAAATACCAGTATATTATAAAATTTTATAACAAAAATAAAAAAGGCCTCTATCATCTATTTAATTTCTAGTGAATCTAATTTATATTATATTTTCAAACGACAGTTTTCTGGTTTGAAGCATTTATTTGCATTACAAATACTATCATATACATAATTCTTGTGACTTTAAAAAGCAAATAACTTTGCAGCACTGATACTTGATAATATCATTTACACATTTTATTTATTTCATATAATTTTCTATTAAATTATCCATTTATTTACCACTTGATCCTTTCAGCCAATTATACATACCAATATATTGTCTCAACCTTTTCCCTACCAATTGCCTGCACTTCTTAAAATTATTTTTTTAAGCAGTTTCTGTACATACTCTATCCCTTCCTCACAACTTAATACTTTCATAAAATTTTCATATATTATAATAAATTTTTCATTCACATTCTCAACACAATTATTTGATATTAGAAGCATTATTCATAAAATTTCAGATGATAAATTCATCTGCAATAGTTACTGGTACCATACTGCATTTTTTTGTTTACAATTTAGTCTTACTTTTTTTTTGCAGTTCAACATGAATAATTTTCTGACATTTTCCACTCACTTTCCATCATATTTATACATTTGAAAAGATTGTACAAGAAATTCCAGCTAATTTCAGCAATCATATACAAGGGTGCTGCCCACATAATCTTTTAAACTGAGGAGATCTTCAGCAAAATATTTCATCTCAATTTAAATGATAGAATTCTTATGTTTAAGTTAGTATTCTAATTAAAGTTCTGATATAAAATGTAAAATGAGCTGGCATGAGACTGGAAGATAATGGAATTTGTAGCTTACTTATTAGCATTGGGAAATTCGAGTCGTTCAGCAATGCAGGCAACAATTTCTTGTGCCAGTGTAGTCTTGTGCACCTCGATGCTGAGAGCCTCATACTGCTGGGACACGGCTCCAACATACACCTGTAAGGGACTGACAATGAGGCAATGCAAATAGCTTTTATTTAAATTGTCAACATAATCACAATTCAGGCACAGCAACAAATCACTAATCATGCATGAGAAAGTCAATAAATTTCTCAATGTTAAAATAAAACTAGATCATGCAATGTCACTCTTCCCTTATCACTAAAATAATTATGAATATAAAATGGGGCAATGAACTGTAGGTAATTTAAAGAATTCATGAGGAAGACTTACAGGCAGCATGTCATTGTAAGATGATCCAATTGAATTTAATGAAAATCACAAAATGATTATGGACTAATGAACACTGTGTCACGGAATAATTATAGAAATAGAAATCCTCCAAAAATCCAGGACACAGATTATAATGTTGATTATTCTCGAGTATTGGGAGGAAATAACTTTTCTAGAAACTATCATAAAACTGGGTGCATCGACACTGGCATGGTTACTAGGACTGCTTTGACATTTAATAAAGGAAAACCCTATAGGTACTCAAAAAGCTTTGAATCAGAAAAATTAGGTTGATGGCTCTGGAAGTACCATGAGATAACCAAAAAATGCAATAAAGAGATATATTTGATACATTTACTATGTGACTATTTCTATCACAAAAATTAAGCACTAAAAAATGTGCAAATTTCCTACCCTATCAATAAACCCTCTCTAATTTTTTAACTATTTGACAGAAAGAGCCACTTATATTGATGCATTTCACTACAAGCTTCCTAAGTTCATTTTTTGAAACCAAATTAAGCCATCATACTTGTACAGTGTCATGATTATTGCTTCACACTTCAGTCTTTGGACCTTAGGATTATTGTCAAAAGCTACCAGGATGAGCAGAGGCAAACTGTCCCTAAGTTTTCAATAAACCTTACAGGATCTGACTGGGCTTCTGTTTTCATCAAGCAACATAGCAATTTAAGCAAAAGGCTAGAAAATAATATTAAAAGATCAAGAGCAGCTGTGGGGGAGCAAACTCTGAGGGAGTATCATTTAAGGCTGGCAGAGGAGATACCTATAAGAAAGTCTTCCTACCCATGTTTAACTATGTCCCATATTATAACTAAAGGTGGTCCAGGACCATGCACTTTCATTACAGCTACATGAAAACCTAGAGGAGGTGAAACCTGCACATAATAGTGAGTAAACTTTATTACAGACCTTACATGTGCATGTTTCACCTTGAGTCTAACTTGGTTGAATAATGATGTGCTTTCAAAATTCTTAACTGGTCCAAGTGTCCCCATTTAATGGTAGTTTTAAATGAGCACATTCTGGTTACAGAAGGAATAGGACAATACTGTATAAATAGATAATCACAAACACTGAGAACACAAAATCCTCAGTTAGTTAGCATATATCACATAGCAAAATATATTTTTTAATGATGTGCGCATGAAATAAGATTTTGGCCAGATCTCACCTGCACAATGTGGCGCCTGTCGTCCATTGCATGCAAGGTGCCTCATAGCCAGAAGCAATGTCAACATTCAACCTACACAACAATCCAAAATTATTCTAGGCACTTAAAAACTAAGGCACTTGATCATATTGAAAGGGAACCTGAAAAATTGTTCAATAAAAAATATAACATTAAAAATATTAAAAAAAATTTTTTTGTTGGTAGCAATCAGTGCAAAAAAACTAATTTCACAATTTAAAAGAAGATTTGAAGACATTTATAATGAATTGGACAAAAAATATGCAACACACAAAATTCAGTACAAGTTCAACTTTTCTAAATCAGCCCAATACTTAGGATTAGATGGTATATATGTTTTGAGAATTTTTCTTTTATGGCCAAAAAGAGCATAAATATCTCCATACATTCTTGGGCTGCCTGACCCAAGACCTGTTTTGACCTCTCGATTCTTTGGTTTCATTATTCTTGGTTTGGTTAAAGTTACTGACCATTATTCTGGCCCAGTTTAGTTTATTTGCCTTGTATTCTTATTTACTCTTTAATGTTCAAACCAGTTTGGGCTGCTGGTTATTCATGTTCTCATGTTAGGTTCACTGAATCACTCATAGCCCTGGGCTGGCTCATTACTAACCAACTAATTTTCATCTTTCATCTCTTCATGTACCACCAATTATATTTAATAGATGTTTGCATGGTTCTTCCTCCATTTATTGCCCCGAGTTTGTTTTGCTTGGCTTCACATGCTGGTACTTTACTGGCCAGACTGTTGAACTTTAGAGGGGCTGACCCCCAACATTCGGTCAAAATTCAGCCATTTAATTCAGCACTGATAGTTCTAAAATTCAGAGATGCATGGCAATCTGGAACTGATGAGGTATGTAATTACTGCACAGGAATTTAATAACTCAAAGTTAGCAGCGTATACATGCATTCTTTCCTTACGAATATGAGCTTAAAGAAAATCCTGAAATAGCTCAGATTAAGCCAATCGGTACAGAAGCAGCATCAAATGATAACTTTCAACATTGCTGCTATCACACCATGCTTCCGTGTTTGCATTTGAATTTCTTGCTAGTAATATTAAAGTTTGGAAGTTTGTAATTATCATGAGTGAATATTGTTTCAGTCGCCTTGTGTCATGGAGAGGAGATGAGAGTGTACAGATTAACACAAGGGTTACCAAAATTTTATTGTTGGTCAATCAAAACCTTAACAGAATTTGTTGTACATAATATAACACATATTCACAGCAATTTCTATCAACCCCATTTCAGGTTGAAAGTCCACTTCCAAAATATAGCATAAAAGATCAAGATCAAGGCCTCACACCTAACAAAGTTTTCTCATATTATTCAAGGTAGTATTCATTTGTTCTATTACATTCTCCAACTAACATCAGACCCAATACCATCAAACAGGTACCGTAATAAGGGGGACAGGTGGAATAAATCAGGACAGTCCTCTGATAAGGTGTATAAATGTTATAGCAGCAAAACTAATTGAAATATTGAAAAAATAGAAACGGTGGCATAAACTTCACAATTTTCACTGTCTATGTAGCATAAAGGAACTTGAGAAATCAAACATTTTCCATCTATAAAAAAATCATAAAAGGAAAAATAAGTATAAGTCAAAGATAATGTCATTTAGTCTACATCTACAGTATTGTGCAAATTAGTTCGGACAGTGGTTGAAATAACACAATTATTTGCCCCCATTGAAGTTTTATTAAAAAAAAACATACCCCCCAATAGTGATGTTTAGATAGGGTAAACACACCATATTCCGACACCTTAAAGATGTAGCAAGAAATAAATGACTATAAATAGATCACCGTATGTGCAACTCTAGTTCTGATTGGTTTACGTCACTCTCAAAACACCACACTACGTGCCAGCAATGATGAAACATCACAAACTGTTGCCATATTTATTTAAAACCTTTATAATTCAAATTACAAAATCGGTGAATTCTGACACAGTGTGTGACTAAATGCGGCATATTGTGATACTAATTCTGACAGCGCTTCAAAATCGTAATTCAGACACCCTTTGTTGGAATTCTGACACTCTGTGTGAGCTGTGTCAGAATACAACAGTAAACAACACCCTGTGTGTTGCAATTCTGACACCCTGTGTTGAAGTTAGTTTTTATGTACCGCAAAATACGGTAACTATGACCACTTCTTCTTTTTAAATGATGACATTTTTTTAATAGATAAGTTAAACTTAATTTGAAACATGCAAAATACAGGTCTATACTGTAGCTTCACTCACCATAAATTGCTGGCTCCTGCCTCTCATAGTTTTGATGTCATTTCAAAAAAAGTGATGGTCCTTGTTACCCCAGCTCTTGGGGTTTCTTTGACTGGGTGGTAAAATCAATTTTACTTTTTGGTAAAATAACTCCAGGTTTTGATGCATTGTAGTAGAACTCATCTAGTTACATATGCAAATGACAAATTTTAGGAAAGTGTCATAGTTTGCAAATTGGGGGCGCTGCCCAATGGGCAAAATGTGACCACCTAATGGCAGCCGTGACGGGGTAACATTGACCGGTTTGGAAATTAAGTTAAAATTACCATATATAAGACTCTGTAGAGTCTGAAACATAAAGCTGTCTCTTATACACATCTAGATGTGTATAAGAGACAGGCTGAAACAAATCACTGATTTAATCAAACTTAAAATCTTAGTAATAATTAGCACCTCTTTAAAGTGACAAAAAGAGCTGAACTCATAGACAAGAGATGTTATGAATTGGCAACAGGCCTACGGCCTAATAAACACTGAAACTGCAATATTATTATTATTATAACAATAGTATGATGGATATGAAATTTGT